GATCAGCCTGCCTCTGCCTCCCGAGTACTGGGATCAAAGGCATGCTCTACCACTGCCCAGCACATAATCATTTTTAAAAAGAACCAAGGATTTCTTCAATAAGAGTTAACAGGGTCTCATGTAACCTAGGATGACTTCAAACCTATATAACTAAACTCTGGGCTCATAGGTGTATACAACTATGTCTGGTTTATGATGTACTAGGTAGGGATTGAACCCAGCCAAACAGTCTATCAACCAAACTACATTTCCAGTTCCATTAATAAAACGTTAAAGGAAACATTCCAAAGCTAGGTAGAAGCATACTTGTAATCCATCATTCAGAAATCAGAGGCAAATCAAACTAACCCAAAAGCAAACAAGAAAGATAACATCAGGATTCTAGCTTCAGTACTTTAACAAGATGATATAAGAGAAAATACAGCCAGGTGTGGCAGTGTCACCTGTAATGCCAACTCTGAAAAGGTCAGAATATTTATGTATTCATAAGCTAGCTCTCAAAAAAAAAAAAAGAAAAAAAGAAAGGAGGAGGAAGAAGAGAAAGAAGGAGGTCAATCAGTCATATGATGGACAATGAATTAACTTACTTAAATTTCTTGATGGCCACAGTTACTCTACAGCAAAATGACTACCTAGTGACCCATCTTTACCATTCAATATCAGTGCCTTTTACCACAATATATGACTATTATTTTGGCAGCTAATCCTCAAACCTAAATATTGTAACTTTATAAATAATTAAATCACACCATGCTATATATTACATATTTGAATTTATACTCCTTCCTATTTAGTTTTTCTAATATGTGTCTTAAAACAGCTAAATCTCTAAACACTAGGCTTAAAGTCCTTAAGTTTCTAAACTTGACCTATGTCAAGGTCAAAAGATTTGCAATTCTAAGTTTACTACATATTATGAGCCAATATTTATATAATTATATCAATGTTCTATTGGAAACTGTTTATTCAAGACAGCATTTCTCTGTATAGCCCTAGTTGTCCTGGAATTCAGAAAAATCTCCCCGCCTCTGCCTTCCAAGTGCTGGGATTAAAGGTGTGTGCCACCACCAGCCAACTAAACTTGCAATTCCTATTTCTAAATTTTAATTTAATTCTAAGACAATATAGCTTTCTGAAACATGAGGAAAATAAGATGAGTAAATACTTTGTAAATTAATTAGTATAGGTCTAATTTGTAAAAAGAAAATGCCTGACTTATGGAAAGTGGTTAAGTGCCAAGTAGAAACTAATTCAAACCAAAACATTAAGCACATTTTTATTTTTGGCAACTTCAACTTCTGGCTAGAAAACTACTCTAGCTATGACATTAAATAGAAACAGTTTATTGAGCTATAAAATCCTGGTAGATTTGGCAGCTGGTTCACTCAGCTAAAGCTGCTGTTACTGGTTCATACCCTCAAGTGACAGAATCTAAATTAGATCAAAGGTTCTTATGTGAAGTCCAGATGTAAATCAAATCATTCAGGGATTCCCCCTCCCCCTCTCTCCAAATGCATATTCCATCTTTAAGATTCTAAAGGGAAGCACAGATAAAACATATGCGTGTGTCCTTTTTTACCAACTAAAAATCCTCCTGGACTATTTTGAGATCTCTCTCTCTTCACAGAGGAATCTCAAAAGTAGGTCCAACTCTTCCATCAGTAGTGTGCATGTATGGTTGTGTGCAGGTAGTGTGACTGCTGTGTGTCGGTGCACATATGTGCACATGTATGTATGTATGTATGTATGTAAAGGCTACAGGTTGATTTGGTGTCTTCCACATTCACTCTGCACCTTATGTACATTGAGGCATGTTCAGCTGGATCCAAAGCTTGCCAGTGTGACTAGTCCAGGTAGTCAGCTTGCACTAGTGGGTTCCCATCTCTGCCTCTTTAAGTGCTAGGATTATGGACTGGCCATCAATGCCCATCTGGCATGTATGTTGGTCCTGGATATCCAAATTCTTGCATGGCAGGTGCTATACATGCTAAGCCATCTCCCTAGCCCTCAAAGCCCCCTCCTTTTAAAAAAGAATTATATTATTGTAAGCATAAGAAACAGACCTAGGAAAAGGACAAGCTCATCCGGAGATTGTGGCAGCAAAGAACTGTACAGTAGGTGTAAACCACTTTCCTAGATTTCTGTGCCAGCACTCACTGGAATCCACTATATTATATTTTAGATACTGAGAAATATTCAGTTCCTATAGTGAGAAAAGTACATAGTCTACAAAACTCGAAAACATAAAGGGAAAATATTCTGGAGGTGGGGAAAAAACAAGCAATGAAACACACACACACACAAATCTGTTGCTCTGGCATTAAAAGAACAAAATATTATTTTTGTTGACAATATAACTTCGTTGAGGTTTCTACCCATGTTTTATCATTTAAAAAAATGATTGAGGAAAGCAGATAACTTTAGGTAGTACTGTTTTTTTTTTTTTCTATAATGAAGTTCAGTCAGGCTGAAAATCATTCTAGAACTTACTATACTATAGTAAGATGTAAAAGCATACTACGAGCAATGAAAACAAATCCATACTAGCTGTTAAGAAAGACTTTAGGACTGGCTGTGGTGGTGTATGCCATTAATCCCAGTACTCAGGAAGCAAGGTGAGTGAATATCTATGAGTTCAAGGCTAGCCTGCTTTACATAGTGACTGTCTGGAGAGAAAGAGAGGTGAGAGAAAGAGGAGAGACAAGGAGTGAGGGAGGGAGGGAGGAAGGGAGGGAGGGTGGAAAGGGAGAGGGAGAGGGAGAGGGAGAGGGAGGAGGGAGAGGGAGAGGGAGAGGGAGAGAGAGAGAGAGAGAGAGAGAGAGACTGAGTAAAGGTTATATTAAGAAGCAAAACTTTCAAGATCCATTTTGAAACAAGCAAAAATATTACTTCCTTACAATCAGTGTATCAAATCACTTACAAATAGCTTTGACACTGCAATTTTTCAAAAGACAGAATCTCTATGATTTATAAATAATCATCCAGATACCATTAGAAGTCAAGTTGGGACTGTTTTTTAAACTCTTTGGTAATTCCCTACTCAAGCGTTCAATTTATGGCATTCTACAATGACACCTACTGGCCACTGAAAATCAGCCATTAGTTCTCTCAAACAGCTAGAGTGGGCTGGTTACATAAGAGAAACACAGAAACACACATGCTTTCTCTTAAATCAACCTACCTAAAAGCAAATATTTGTTTAAAATATGCAAACACTGCATTTTTTGTATGTAAAGCACTATAGAATTTCACCTAAAGCAAAAAATGTAAGTTTTCTTTGTGACTAAAATATCATTATTCTTGTAAAAAGATAAGACAAGTAATAAAACACCAGTATTATTTAAAATTGTTTATTTAAAGCACTGACAAATACTTCAGTGTGCTGGGCATTTCAAAACAAATACTAACGATCCATTTCTACTCAAACAATATTTGAGAGAAAAAAATCAAAATTCTAATTTTATATGTATATGTATAAATGTTTGTGTATATGTATGTTTATGTGTATGTATAAATGATCAACAGTAGCATAAAGGCTATATCTTAGAAAGTTTTTCTAACATGTAGTTAAACAATAATCCCAGTAAGAGAATATACTTCCTTGACACTACATTTGTCCTTTTCTTCTAACTTGACGGCAGCATCTCAAGCAGCTTACACTTTAGTAATTTATAGTGCTACTTTTTAAAGACTTTTCCAGTCTTTGAAGATATTTTTCCTAAGAGTTATAAAAGCACGTGCCCTTCCACAATATGCACTGACAGGAGTTTGCTTTAGGACTGTATTTCACCAAACTGTGGATTAAAAGACTTTTCAAAACAAAATAGTCTTAAACTTGTAAATAAATTTTATTTATGTCCATGACATTCAAGGAGCTTATTTTTAAAGCCTAAGGCATAACTCACAACTAGCTCCTCAGACTTAACAAGGGAAATCACTTAAAGTTGACACTCCTTTGTTAAGATTTCCACTTTATTTTCACAGTCCTCAACGTCCAAACATTGGGGGCGAGTTGTTACCAATTTACTGTTCACTTTCTAATCTGCATTTACCTTCTATAGATTTAAAAAGCTCTCCACTTTTCTGAAGGTTAAAACCGCAAAGCAAATTCGTGTACTACAAAACACGAATCTGACAACATTCATCTAAAGCTAACGTCGTGTTGTCTCGAAACTCAAGTCCATATTTGGGATAAGCGCTTCGTGACTACTCTTGCCTTCACGTTGTCCTCCTCCTACAGACCCTGCCTCGGTAGAGAAAACACTGGAGCCAACAAGAAGAAAGTGTTCAGGTACATCAATGGGTTGCAAGAGCTCTTCTACCAGGGTCAGTCGAGTTATTCGGAAAAATAACTGCCATGGGTTACATAATGTACAGCCACAAATTTCTAGATCTGACCACCAATAAATAAATATCTTTCCTCTCCGCACCGCTCCCCATCCCATTAAACGGCCCTAAAACAACCCCTAGGATTTCACTCAGGTGTCTGCAATGCCGCGCGTCCTTCTCTTGCCTGAGGCTTCTTGCAAGAAATTCCTTCAGCCTTCACTACCTGTGTCTTGCTCCCGCCTCCTTCCCGCCTCAGCCCACGCCACCGACACCCTAATGCCCTTGCTAGGGCCCCAAGTTGCCCCACAACACTCATCCCCAAGCCGCCTCGGCAGTCGCCTTCTCCTCAGGACCCTCCCGAGCTTGCTCCCAGGTCTGCGGGGCTTCGGATCAGCCAACAGTCCTGCTGCTGCCTCCTCACCTCACCTTCGTCAGCTCCCGGCTAGCGTGTCCGCAGCAGGAGAAAACCCTCTTCACCTGGCACCATGCGTTCCCCCCCAAGACAGCACTGCCGCCTACCTGTCACCCCGCAGCCTCAGGCTTCCTACCGCCACCGCCTCCCGCAGCAGCCTGCCAACTGCGGCATAACAACCAGCCTTCTCATTGAGTGGGCCCACGCGCTTAATAACAGCCGCTCTCATTGGCTATGCTATGGCTCTGGCCCGGCCCTCGGTGCTCCGCCTAAAGATTCCGTTCGGAAGCAAGGAAAACATGGTTTTATCCTCCTTCTCCTAAATACCTTCTATCTCAATCAGACTCCAGCTGCAAAGTGTAGGAAACAATCTTTACTTCCAGGATCCTTCATGCCATCTCTACGTTGTCTGGGAGCCTTGCGCCAGTACCGGAACGTTTACTATCGCCCCCATTTTCCTCCCGTAAGAAACTAGAGGAAACAACGTCCGTTTCCGGTTGGCTCCGACTGGAAGGTTGAATATTGAGTGTCCTGGGAGGTCAGATTGCTGTCAGGTAATTTAGGGAGTTGGGGGAGACGTCTGGATTAAGCATAATCTAAACTTTATCCAGGGAAGTGCAGAAGTGGAGAGTGCTGAGAGGACCAGTTAAGACCGGGAGAAGATCCGAGACCTAGCTAGGGAGCCCTGCTGCCAGGTACAACTGGGCTGAGTGGAAGCGGATGAAGGATGCCGTGAGAATTACTGTGATGGTTAAATCCCAGAGATGTTTTAACCCGCCGCTACCAGATGCAGTTTACTCTTCGCCTCCTAGCTTTTTGGGTTGTGTTTGAATAGGGTAAAGAACAGCTCCGATCCGAAAATACTTAAAACTAGAAGAAATAATTGCAACGGTTGTTACACAAGCTTGTATTTTAAGTACGGTTTCTCTAATATAAGTGTTTATGATACAGTGCTTAAGTGAAAAAAGCAAGTCACAAAATCAAGACTATTGCATAATCCTAGGATTAAGGGTTGGGTACTAAAGTAATAGCACTTCATTTGTGTTCTCTAATATTTTTATGGCCATCTTAGTTTTTGAATGAGAGAAATTAGAGATACACACTTGAAAGCCCCTGATAAACTGTAAAATTGTATGTAATGGAAGTAACATTATTCTTCTTCGTTAGGGAAAGCAAGGCAACACTTCCCCAGTGCTAGAACAAACCATCGTTAGTGGAGGTTGATCATCACCAAACTTTTAAATTCACTTCTGACATAGGCAGGTAGCATTTAAATTTTCCATAATTATGTGTTCATTTGTGGCTAAATCTATTTCTTTACTATTCTTAAATGGGCAGTTCTAAAGGTGAAATAATTTCCTGTCATTGAGCAGTATAACTCACTCTTTCCATGGTATAAGGAGAGAACCGGTTCAGTTAGGTTGTCCTCTGACCTCTACATGGCCACACACACACAAGACTTTAAATAAATACTCTTTTAAAAATAGGAACCCAGCATGATGCACAGGCCTGTACTCCTAGCACTTGGGAGATAGAGACAGAAGGACTAAGAGTTCAAAGACTTCCCTGGCTATATACCAAGTTTGAGATTTGACTGATCTTTGTGAAGTGAGTAAACAATATTCTTGTAAGACAGAGGTGGCTCATACCCCAGTGATAAAGTAATGTGTGCTTCATTTGGAAAAAAAAAATCTGTCGTGCACATTTGGAAATTTCTCTTAAGAGATGATGTCCAAAAGAAATGTAGTGGAAACCACGTATGTGAAATTAAAAAGATTCATCTAACCCAATATGTTAAACATATTCTTATTTAAAGATATACTCTGAAGCCTGGTATGGTTGCCTTTAGTCCTAGCACTTGGGAGGTAGAGACAGGTTAATCTCTGAATTCAACACCAGCCTAGTATACAAGTTCTAGTACAGCCAGGGCTACACAAAGAAACCTTGTCTTGAATAAATACATATATTAATATATACTATTAATGAATTCTACATTTTCATACTGTCAAAAATGTATGTACTTTATATGTACACATATATGTATATATATGTATATATTGTTTTCATAAATATAAGTATTTGGTCTGTATTTTAGAAGCTTGAAAAAAATACACTTGAAAAAAGTATATTCAAAAAAAAAGAAAAAAGTATATTCATACACTCAGATAATTCCAAATACACTTTATTATTTTCTTTTAATTGATTTAAGAGTTTGGTTTGATGCTTGCTACTCTTTCAAAGGACCTGAATTGGGCTGCTAGCACCCACACCAAATGGCTCACAGTCACCAACTATTTATTACTTCAGCTTCCAGGAATCTAATGCCCTCTCTGACATCCAAAGACACTCCCATGCATCACACACACACACCCCACAAATAAAATCTTTTTTTAAAAGAATTTATTTTGAAATTTAAATTGATTGAAATTCCAAGTTCCTTAACTCCTTAACCACATATTAAATGTTAGAAGCTACCAAATGAGACAGCACAGATCCAGGAGAGGGATTGGTGGCCATATATATTTGAATATCCTTTCTTCCTCACCCCAACCCTCTTTGATTTTTTGAGACAGGGTTTCTCTGTGTAGCTCTGACAGTCCTGGAAGTTAGACCAGGTTGCCCCGTGCCTCAGCCTCCCTGGTGCTAGGATTGAAGGCATGTGCCGTCCCTCCCAGCCAGTGTTCCATTTTCTAGGTCATGCCAGTTTTTTCAGAACATTTGTGCTCAGTCATAGTCTCACTACTTTGATATGAAAATGGAAGGCACACCACAATGTGTTCTCTGCATTTTTCAATCTTGCAAGATAGATTTTGGGTCTTGTTATATAAAAGAATAGAAGTCCAGAATGACTGAATGACTTTCTTGCAGATGCTATTAGTGGTTCATAAAAAGATAAATTTAAACTCTTCCATCAAACATTCAAGATTTTATTGTTTGATTTATACCTATTATGAAATAACAGTGATTTTTGTTTTGCATTTTGAGATGGGCTCACCCATTATCAGCCTTAAACTGGTCTGAAGTGGTCCTCCTGCCTTAGCCTTTCAGGTGAGTGTGACTACATGCTTGTGTACCTTAGTTCAGCTGAGACTATAATGTTTAAAAAGAACAAAGTTTCCTTGGGAATATGTTTATTCAACTTTATTTTTTTTAGAAATTCCTATAGAATAATTTTTTTCTAAAATATTGTAATTAGGTAGATAAACTATATTGGCTTTATTAAAGAAATTTGTGCAGAAGAAGTGGGTATAGAGTTTCATGTTTTCTTTCAAAAATTTATATTGCAAATTAGTATTTTGAGACAATAATATTGTAGCTTCAAAGTAGCTTTATACTATGGTAATATTTAAACTTTTAATTTTAAAAACAAGTTATTTTATCACAATTTGGCGCACTGGTCATCACGGCCCATGCCTGTAGTCCTAGCAGTGGAGAGATGGAGTCAGGAGGACCAGAAGCTGAAGGTCAGCCTTCTAGGCAGAGCAAATTGAAGGTCAGTCTCATCTACTGAGGCTGCGGTGGGGGACTCTGTTTTATAGATACTCAATCAAGATTAATATCCTAGTGTTTACATTTGTTTAAATAGGGATTGGTTTTGTAAACTCTATAAAACATTTTTTAAAGTTTGTTTTTAACATTCTATGACCATGTGAAAGCATTACATGATAAATACATGCTAATAGCCTTTATTCGGTAATTATGAGTCTCAAAAATCATTCTTAAATCTGAAACAGTCATTTTTCCCCTTCATATTATTCTTTTTCTGTTTTGTTTTTTGAGTCACTGTGGCAGTGTTGCCTAGCCTAGCCTAGCCCCAATGTAGGCTTTAGAATCCAGTGATCTTTATGCCTCAGCCTCTCTAGTGACTGGGAAAAGAAGTATGCACATAGCCAGGCAATTGGTACCTTTAACTCCAGTACTCAGGAAGCAGAGGAAGATGGATTTCTGTGTTTTCAAGGCCAGCCTGATCTGCAAGTTCCAGCACAACCGAAGCTACACAGAGAAAACTACATTACTGATTTCACCAAATAAAAACAAAGTGATGGATGAAATATTTCATTCAAAGCTGTGAATGTTGTAGTTTTAACTTGTATTTAGTGGCTATATTTTAATTTTTTAAATATGGAGATCTTTTTTTTGTTTGTTTGTTTTTTGTTTTTTGTTTTTCGAGACAGGGTTTCTCTATATAGCCCTGGCTGTCCTGGAACTCACTCTGTAGACCAGGCTGGCCTCGAACTCAGAAATCCGCCTGCCTCTGCCTCCCAAGTGCTGGGATTAAAGGCGTGTGCCACCACTGCCTGGCAAATATGGAGATCTTTAACTTAATGTTTTGTGATTTAACTTTCGGTGGGGGGGTAGGGACGGTGTTTAATACAGGGTTTCCTCTATGTAACAGAGCCCTGGAACTCTACCTATAGACCAGGCTGGCCAAGAACTCCCAGAGATTCACCTGCCTCTGCCCCTTAACCTCTGGAGTTAAAGGCATGTACCACTATGCCCAGCTGATTTCTTTACATTTTTATAAATTTTAAGTTTTGGTTAATTTATTAGTTATTGTGTTCATTTTTTTCTCACATCCTAGTATTACTGTTTAATGAAATAAGCATTTCATATAATGTCTTCAGCATATACTAATATATTTCAATTTTTTCTGTTTTATAAAATCCTATTTTGAAAAATCCTGTCCTACTGTTGGACTTCTTCTGTTATTAAATGGAAATATAATGGTAGAATTATTTTTAGTTTGTTTTACTTCTGGAGAGCAATGATTGTAGAAATCCAACTGCTACTCTTATATGAATAATAATATAGCAGTATTCATACTGTTGAATTTTAAATTCATAGCGATTTAAATGAGGACTAAGATAAAGTTTATTTTTACACTAGCAAAACAAGCCGTAGAACAACAACCATTGACATACTCTGTTTACAAAGGCAGTTTATTGATTAAGAGGGTGTCCTCAGGTGGAATTGGTCAGTACTTGAACTAGTAAACTCCAGCCAGCAGGTCACATTCAGCACAGTGCCTGCTTTTGTTGAGGCCTGTGAGCTAATAGTGTTTGTGCAGATGAAGTTGAACAGTCATTTTAATGCTACATATGGAATAATGACCGTAAGTTCCAGGAAGGCAAACCACTAACCTTCCAAAAGGAAGTTTCATTTTTTATCAAAAGACCTATATCATAAAGATCTATCTTGGTTATTTAATATGTTTTAGATTTTATCGGTGAAATCTTGCTGAAAACCCACGTCTATCCTGTTTTACCCACAAGACCTAACATATTTATTATCTGGTTCTTTATAGAAATTGTTCATGTACTCTTATATATCTAAAAGGATTAATATGTATTTTTGAAGAACTAGCTAGAGAAAGGTAACAAAACAGCATGTATTCTTTTCTGCAAATTCTTGCAGTAAGATTAAAGAGAGGAAACCATTATCTAGGCATTACTAGGAGGGACTTCTGAAGCTAAAGCACAAGGTTAAAGTACTAATTATACCATTCGTTAACTGTCTTCTTACCTTCAGAAGTTACTGCTTGGAGTCATTGTCTTCCTCTGTAAAAGTGATGTTTACTTTTATAAACTTTTTGTAAAAGCTTTCTACTCAGATTTTCAACATCTCTTTTCAAAACATTTCGCTTGAAACATAGACATCAAATTTGGCTCTCTCTCTCTCTCTCTCTCTCTCTCTCTCTCTCTCTCTCCCTCCCTCCCTCTCTCCCCCTCTCTCTCTCTCCCCCTCTCTCTCCCTCTCTCTCTCTGTCCTTCCTGTAGACATGGCTGATGGACATGGACATGGAGAGGGACATGGACATGGACATGGTAAAATGGAACTTCCAGATTACAGACAGTGGAAGATTGAAGGGACACCGTTAGAAACGGTGCAGAGGAAGCTTGCTGCGCGAGGGCTCAGAGATCCGTGGGCTCGGTAAGAGGAGTCGAGAAATGTCTTCTTTTTCTGAAATGACTTTTATTTACTGTACACATGTGAAGATAGAGATGACTCAAGGGAGGCCTGTCCTACCACGTGGGTCCTGTCACAGGGTTGGCGGCCAGGACCTTTACCTACTGAGTCTTCTCGCTGGTCCAGATCGAGTTATTTATGAGTATAGAGTCAGTATCCATGCTCCATCTTATATCATGAAAAATGGCTTCTCAGTTTCCCTGGCGTTTTCCTTATTAGAGCTTTCTGCATTAGAATCCTGTGGGATATGTCTTTTGTCCTAGCGTTTTACTTGATGATGTTGTTTTGCTCAGGCTAGGGAAGCTGAGTTAAGTGCCAGGGGATAAAACCCGTTCTTTGTTGTTACAACCATTCGTAAGTCTGTATGGATATATATTTTTTTCATTTCTCTTGGTTAAATACTTAAGAGTGGGATTTCTGGCCAGGCAGTGGTGGTACATGACTTTAGTCTCAGCACTTGGGAGGCAGAAGTATGTAGATCTTTGTAAGTTGAGTCCAGCCTGGTCTACAAAGTGAGTCTTAGGAAAGCCAGGGCCATACAGAGAAACCTTGTCTTTAAAAAAAAGTGGGATTTTTGGATTATATGATAAATCTATGGGTCTTTCTATAAGAACTGCCAGTTTTCTAAAGAGGTAGTATTACCCATTCCTACCAGCAGTGAATAAGAATTTTAGTTGCTAATGATCTCATCAGTACTTAGTATTTTCAGTCTTTTAACTTCAGCCAATCTAACACCAAACATGGTTGTGCACACCTGTGCACCTGTAATCTCAGCCATCGAAAGGTGGAAGTTGGAGGATTAGAATTACAAAGCCATCCTCAGCTATGTATCAAATTGGAGACCCCTGGGCAACATAAGAGCTAATCTCAAAAAACTGTAAGACAAATGAAGCCTCCTAGGAAATATAGCAGCAGAGCTCTGGTGTGGCTTCCCTCCCCATTGCCATGACACTAGTGCTTGTGTTAGTCATTCTGTGTACATGTCTGTGAGTCGTTTGTTTGGTTTTGGTGCAGTGTATCCTCGGGTCTTTTGAACTCTTGTTATGGGCTTTAATAGTTCTTTATATATTTTGAAAATAAGCATATATAAATTTTCTAAGTATTCTTTCTCAGAATATATGACCATATACAACCTGCCTTTTCATTTTCTTAATGTTTTAAATTTCAATAAATTTCCAGTTAAGTTTTTGTTGTTGTTGTTGCTATTACTTTTGTATCTCATGTAGGATTTTATCCTATATTTTTTTTAGAAGCATTTTTTTTTTTATTCTTTTTGAGACAGTTATGTGTCTAACCCAAGCCAGGCTTAGACTCAGGATCTTCCTGTCTTAGCCTCCTAAGCCCTGGGTTTGCAGGCATCCATTATTACATTCAGCTTAAGGTGTTCTTAAGTTGAGGTATAATTATTCATTTTGAGTTAATTTTTTATTTACAAAAAATATATTTATTTGTGTATATGTGTGCATTTTGCCTGCATGTATGTTTGTGCACCACATGTGCATCTGGTGCTTGCAGAGTTCAGAAGAAGGTGTTGGATCCTCTGAGACAAGAGTCACAAACAGTTGTTGAACCTCCTGTGTTTGCTGTGAATCTAACCTGGGTGCTCTGGAAGAGCAGCCAGTGCTCTTAATTACTGAATTACTCCAGTAACTTGAGTTAGTTTTTGGTTTTTTGGTTTTTTTTTTTTTTTTTTTAAAGAAAGAAGGGAGGCAAATATTACAGGTGGATATCCAGTTGGTTCAGGACCATTTATTAAAAGGTTATTCCCCACTGAATTACTTTGATAAATATGTCAAAAATCAATAGACCATCTCTATGTGGTCTATATCTGGACTCCATTTTGTTTCCCTGTTCGATATGTCTACACTTAGATCCAATACCACAATCTTTAACAGGGAGGTATAAGATTTCCAGTTACCTTTCATTGGTTTAGCTATTCTGAACCTTTTTTATTTGCCTATAAATTTTAGTATGTGCTCATCAGTTTCTACAAATGGCTGACTTGGATTTTAATTGGAATCTCATTCACTATTTTACAAAAATTTATGATGTGAATCTTCTCCATGTTTATATTAAACTCACATTAGTTTGGAGATAATTTAGGCCTTTTAAATAATGGCTTTTGTAGCACACAAGTAATGTAAGAACTTTTTGAAATTTTAAACAGTATTTTCTTGCTTTTTATATATCTCTTGAACATTTTGCTGAATTCATATTTATGGTACTATTGTATAAGTGGTATTTTAAATCTCATTTTCCAGCTGTGTTGTTGACAATTAATTTTTGCATATCCATTTATTATTTAGCTAAACTTTTATTCTAGCTAAATTTTTGCTCTAGTAAATTTTTTTATAAGCCCCTTAAATTTTCCTTTTTATAATGGTCATTTTGTCTACAGAGATAGCGTTACTTCGTCAGTCTGTAAACTTTTGACTTTTTTTTTACTGGTGGTTTTACAATGGAATCTCACTTAATAGCTCAGGCTAATCCTAAACAGTGTGCCTTTCAGCTTTCTGAGTACTGGGACTATAGGTATGAGCTGTAACTCCCAGAATCAGTCCTGCCATATTATCCCAGCTTGTTCTCAATTCCTGGGCACAGCCACCCTCTTACATGAATCTCCTGAGTAGTCAGATTAGAGAGACTTGGAAACATACCATGCTTTTTATTATTGTTGGTTGGTAGATTTTTCTGCATTTCTTTAATCATATGTTGTTTTTATTTGTACATTACTGGTTTTAATTTTCTAAAAATTTTTTTAAGAATATACAACAGGTCTGGTGTGGTGGCACACACATCTAATCCTAGCACTTGGGAGGCAGAGACAAGTGGATCTCTGTGAGTTCAAGGTCAGCCTGGTGTACAGAGCAGGTTCCAGAGCTCAGTGAGTTCCAGAGCTCCACAACCTGAGCTGCTCCGAACATCTTTGTGTGATTTCGGCATCTACGCTACTTTGATTTGTTACCATATTTTCTATGAGACAGGGATTTTTGTCGTTGTTTGTTTTGTTTGTTTTGCCACAAGTCAGAGGCTAGCCTAACCTATACAGTAAGACCCTGTTTCAAAAACACAGAGGAAACAATGTTCCCAGCACAGTGGCTCATGTCTTTAATCCCAGCGCTTGGGATACAGAGACAAGGAGATCACTGTGAGGCCAGCCTGCTCGATATTGTGAGTTCCAGGACAGCCAGGGCTACAAAACAAGACTATATTTCAAAAACAAAACAAAACCCCACAAACAAAAAATCACCGCCAAGCAGAAAAGAAATACTAATGTGGCTTTTAAGTATTTGAGGAAGAAGAAAATCAAGTGTATTTGGCTAGGTGAATTAATGTGAATTGTGTGTGGTTACAATGTTTCTTATCTTTTTCTTTTAGTAATGAGGCTTGGAGATACATGGGCGGCTTTGCAGGCGACATCACCTTCACGAGTGTAATACTAAAAGGATTCAAATGGGGGTTTGCTATGTTTGTGGTAGCTTTAGGGGCTGAATATTTCCTGGCTTCCCAGAATCCTTCCCAGAATGCTGATAAGAAGCATCACTGAAGAGAGCACCTTGTGACGTCTCGATCATAAAAATAAGATTCTCTCACTGTAGCATCCTTGGCTGTATGTTTGTCCTTGAAAGAATATTAGTATGGTTTAATAAAGTAAGGAAAACTCTTGTTTTTGTAACTCTTAAATAAAATTAAAAAGAAAAATGTAATGTATGTACCTATAACTTCAGCACTTGGAACACTGAGGAGGATCATGTTCAAGGCCAGCTTAGGCTATATGGTATGACTGTGTGTGTGTGTGTGTGTGTGTGTGTGTGTGTGTGTGTATACACACACATATTGGACTTTGTTTGGTACCAGCAGTGGTGTGTTCTGCATATAGCAGGCAGCTCCAAAATTTAACAACACAAATGAATGTGTTCTAGGAGGGTTTTTTTTTTTAACTGTTTGTGGAAACTTTAGGGGCTGACTGTTGACTTCCCAGAATGATGATAAGAAGCATCACTGAAGAGAGCACTTTGTGACACCTCTATCATAAAAATAAGATTCTTTCACTGTAGCATCCTCAGACGCAGTGAGTCCAGTTAGTAGTGCCTCTATGTGCGTAGGTGTGAAGCTGTCCACTAGACCTTAGAAAATTTGCCAGCAGCCACACCCCAAAGAACAACATGACTCCCTCCCTAAGTAGACATTAGTTGCCAGTATTCCTTGGCTGCAGTTGGAGCCTCACGAGCCTCTTCACTATGATGATGGAGTGTTGCCTGGCTAAATCTTATGCAGGTAACCACTGCAACAGCCACGTCACATCCGGAAGACAGCATTTTATAGCGTTCTTTCCTATCCTGTCTCTACATTCTTTCTGTTCCCTCATGCGTGGTATTCCCTGAGCTGTGTGTGACTACCTGTCACCTGTCCATGGAGTGTTTAATATAGATGTCCCATTTGGGGCTCAGCACTCAAGTTACTTAATCTCAGCATTTTGACCAGTCAGTAGTTTTTATATTGATTGCTGCTGGCTGCCAAGCTCTGACTAAAGTTGAGAGTAATGATAATTTATGAGTACAAGCATAAATATGTAACAGGCAGTTTGACAAAGTGACCATTTAACAAAACAATGGTAGTAAGTTCCCTCCCTAGGGCCTATGACTTCCTGAGTCTTGGACTTGACCAGGTTTGCAGTACTAAGCCTGAGTTCCCTCCTGTAGAGCAGGCCTCATATCCAAACAGTGTTGCCTACCCCAGAATGATCATGCCACTATTACAGCAGTGCCAGCCACATCCAGCTTGGGAGATCCATATTCTAACAGGCAGGGCCCAGTACTGGATAAGACCACTGCTGCCTTTTCTGCCTCTAGGTTTTTTAATTGGAGTTGGTCTTACTATTTAGAGAGACATCCTGCCCTCCGTTTCCTTGTGACATGCATATGTATCATGTTCATTTTTCTTTATTCTATTCTCTGAATCCTCACTGTCCTTGCACTGGGCAGGGAGTTGGGGGAAAACTTGTTCATTCTGGCTTTTCATACTAAGGAACTAATCTCATTTGTGACTGCTTTGCCCTCATGTTGCCAGTGTGAAAACCTTGACAGTTTTTAATAAACTGGACATTTCCCCATGTTAAATCTTTAACATTAAGTCACTAGTTAAGATTAAGAGGCTGGAGAGATGGCTCAACAGTTAAAATCATTGGGTGTTCTTCTAGAGGACCTGGGTGTGATTCCCAGTATCCACATGTTTGCTCAACAACCTTTTATAACTCCAGTTCCAGGAAGTTCAACACCCTCTTCTGGCTTCCATGGGCACCAGGCATGCACATGGTACACAGACATACATGTAAGCAAAACACCTAAACAAAAAAAAATAGAATTTAAAAGTTTATTGAGAAGATATATTCTTTCCTTGAGTTGTCAAGCTAAAGTCAGAATGAGCAATTTTAAATGAGGCAAAAGAATTTGTAATAAAACTCAAGTGGTAAAATGGAATTATTAGAAACTAGTTTCTACCTAGCACACTTGGGTTGTTGGTGAGGGCTGTCTTTCTGGTTAATAGAAGCTGTCTTGCACAGAGGGTGGAGTGTCACTCTGGGATTTATTGCATTCGTGATGGCTCGGTGTACCATGTGCAGAGGCCTTTGGGAGATTAGCTGTCTCTAAATGTCATCAGAGTAGAATTAAGTATCAGTATATTTTAGGAAGACACAAACATTTAGCCCAATGCATATTAATTAGAATAACTAACAGCAATGATTATTTCAAAAACAAAACCAGCTTTTGTCTTTGAAGTCCTTGATTCTGTAATCTTTGGTCTTGATTAGCTGGCCAGAAAGGCCCGGGATCTGGTCTGTCCCTGGCCTACTTTAAACATCTTGTCAAGGAAAATGGATTGGGTTTACTTAAGTAAAAATACATTTATTGATTTGATATTCTAATTATCAATATAATCTATGATGGGTTGATTTTGATAATTGTACCCCTGATAAAGGCAATCATAACACAGTCTAAATTTGCATTGTATTGCCGGGCAGTGGTGGCGCACACCTTTGATCCCAGCACTTGGGAGGCAGAGGCAGGTGGATTTCTGAGTTCGAGGCCAGCCTGGTCTACAGAGTGAGTTCCAGGACAGCCAGGGCTACACAGAAAAACCCTGTCTCGAAAAACAAAAAACCAAAACAAAAAAAAAAGATTGCATTGTATTATCTGAATGTTAATGAGTGAATCATTTTACTTGATGAACATGTAACAACTTGAGGTTAAGTCATGAGCTTATTTTACTGAATGAAAATGTGTAATGTCTAAATTGATAAATTTAAAAATTATATTAAAGGAAAAAACAGTGCCAAGAATACAGGGAAAGAGACAAAACACTTGGGCCCCTAGAAGTGAGATAATTAACTCATTAATAATTACACTGAGAATATGAGGCTCAAAGTTAGTTGACTAAGGATTCACTATGGAGTTCAGGTTAGCCTCAGACTCACAGAGATCTACCTGCTTCTGCCTCCTCTGTGCTGGAATTGGTCCAACATTTAAAACATGCCAATCAAAAGATAAATTTTTGTCTTGGGCAATGACTCAATTGCTAAAATGCTTGTTGCACAGGATGGGAACCTGAGTTTGAATCTCCAGCACCAGAAAAAACAGGCATGGTGGTGTATGATAGTTACCCCAGTTTTGGGGGAGATGGGGACAAGTGGATTTTGGGGCCTTGCTGGCCAGCCCAGTCACACCCAAACAGAAAGGTTCAGTGAGAGATACTGTCTCAAAGAAGAAATAAGATAGACCAATAGTGGAAGACACCCAACATCTGACTTTCCCATGTACATGCATAGGTGCATGCATCAGCACACACATGTGCATACACACAAGTTACCTCGAGCACAGTGCTGTGTGCCTATAGGTCTAGCTACTTGAGGGGCTAAAGCAGGAAGGTAGCAAGTTGGAAGCCAGCCTTGATAATGTACTGAGATACTATCTTAAGAAAGGGAGAGAGAAGGAGGGAGGGAGGGAGGGAGGGATGGAGGGAGGGAAGGAGGGTGGGTGGAAGGAAGGAAGGAAGGAAGGAAGGAAGGAAGGAAGGAAGGAAGGAAGGAAGGAAAGAAGGACTGCCTTAAAGGTCCTAGTCCCTATATAAACCTAAATACCTCTGCAGAGCTTCAAAATAGCTGAAGCAAAATAA